GTTAGATGGCACGTCCATCCGATGTAACACTCAAAGTGGGACTGAAGTCTGACAATGGTGTGAAGGAGATACAGAGAACATGGCAATAAATAAGTACATAACTAATAAACCGGAGCCGGAGTCAAAAGGTTAAAAACATGCCATGTTCTCTGTATCTCCTTCACACCATTGTCAGACTTCAGTCCCACTTTGAGTGTTACATCGGATGGACGTGCCATCTAACACAGTTCTCCATGTGATGCCCAGAGATGAAAGTGAGGCTGTTCTTTAATTTTTGATACTAATGGCGTAATATTGTAAGTTTACAGAAAATATTTCACGACGTTCATTTTTACTTATCCTAGACTTTGTTTCCCAATTGACACGACTGTAAGATGCGTCTTGTTTTGTAAAATAATTATAGATTGTTGAATTCCTTGAAAAGGACCACAACCCGCATGGTCGAAACGTCGGATTAAACGAATAAATAAACCATCTGCCAGCCTAAGTCGTCTAACAATTCTTTCTACCGACAATTGAAATCTTCGTCGTTTCCCCCGTTCGTGAGATCGCGGACTCCGCGAGTCCGCGCTATTACCGCGAACCTTTTGCGAGCGCGCGCTCGAAAGATATTATCAGGGCAATAATTAACTCTCCCTCTTTTCGAGTACAAGAAGAGATAAAAAAAAGCGACCCAGATGCTCTCTTATCGCATATGTAAATGCGTTATCCGAAAGTGTCGTTACTTGATTTTTAAGTTTAGATTCGCGATATAACCGCGGTTAAAAATAGTGAAAAAAAATGTGTCCCTATTGGTGTTCACCGTGGATTTAGACGAGAGCGTCTCGATACAGCGAAGCCGACGATAAAAGTGGACGAATTAAGGAAAATTAAAACTGTGATCCCTTTTCGTTTAATTACGCTACCAATCGAGAGGCGAGATTGCACAATGCTGCAGATAGTAGAGATAGATGCGAAATTCTCGCGGATAATAGATGCTGTACGGCGCCAGCATAACTCAATATTGATAGGATAATTAAGTGCTACTAATATCTTAGTTACCTCGTAGTTGCTTGGTACGCGTTAAAGTGCGAACTATTATCGGAGTCCGGGGATGCGGACGAATCCTTTCCCGATTACACTTACCGTTATTGCCGCCTCGTTATTGATTTTATCGTGTCGCAGGTTAAAATCGTAAAACTGCTCTTTTAAAGATATACTTATCTTTTTCGTAGAAATTGACCCGCGCGCGAATATATAAAACACTCGCCGCAAAATATGCGCTCCTCTCTCACCCGATGTCTGATTTAAATGTCAAATTTTTAAGGGTTGTCGTTAATGAAGAATTATATACCTTGTCGGGAGTCTCTTTTTTTTTCCTTATAAAAATTGCACCGCGAATAAAACATTTGTGGCGTTCCTTTTTTCGTCCGATATTCGATTCAAATGTGAAAATTTTAAGAATCGAGGAAGAATTAGATTTTGTCGGAACTTCCTTTTTATTCGTCGAAATTCGGATCAGTGCGCGAATAAATGTTTGCCGCATTCTTTTTCGGCTCCATATCCGACTTGCACGTGAAATTTTTAAGAGTTATTAAATATAATATCTCGTCGGGGTTTTTTCGGTTCTTGTCATAAAAATGAACGTGCGAAAATATAAAATGCTTATCGCACTCTTTATTCGTCCGATAGAAATATGAAACTTTTACGAGTCGTCGTTAATGAAGAATTAGATGTCTCGCCGGGAGAAATTGTACGTGCCCCCACGGAAAAATAGATATTTCAAAAAGTAGGTGAAAATATATGATAATATATTTCGTACATTTGGTTTGGAAAAATTCTATTAAAAGCATCGTATACAATATTATACAATGTCAAAAATATACTAAAAATGTATGTGAAATATATAAACAATATTTAAATTATATTTTTATAATTCCACAATAACGCTTTTCGCTGCCGCGAGGCGGCGATCGCGCGTCACACTTTCTCGTATTTAAAAAGCAACCAACAGCAGTGTATAAGAAGTGGCGAGAAATCAGATCTGACAGTTGTGGCAAATGAAATCAATTTGATCTCCGCTGTTAAAGCGTTGAGAATCTAAATTCCTTTTAATATTTTTAATACATATGAGTGATATATGAAAAATTCCAATTCATTGTTATTACATTTATAGTAGCAGTATATATTTCTTATAACGCATATACGAGTAATGTAAAACGAATGTATCCTTTCTACTTTTCTTGATATATAATGAAATATATATTTTTCCGTGGGGGTTGCACATCGGCATGTCTCCGCGGTCCCGAGGATCAGCTTGGACAGAGAGAAAGTGACTAGACCGCGAGTAAATTCGCGGTGTATCGGGAGAGCCGGAGAACTTTTCGAACTGGTATTCTTCGCGGATACGTAGATCGGGTGTAAGAAGTATACGGTAGACGAGCAGGGCGGATGTAACGAGTAAGCTCGTTGAAACAAGTTCCTCTTTGTGAACTGACCTCGAAGACGGGTGAAACGTGAGAGCAAAGCCGCAACCGAGAGTTCCTTGGGATAGTATCTCGGTTTGTACGCGTGTACGTTATAGAGTTGCCGAGATCGAGAGAGCGAGAGAGCGAGAGAGAGAGAGAGAGAGAGAGAGGGAGAGAGAGAGAATGTCGCGTAAATTGGCGCACACGCTTGCATTCACGGTTCGAGTCTCAGGAGTTACCAAAACTGGTCGACGTAACTATCTGCATATCTCGTCTGTACGATCAGCTATCCTTGAATTCGTAGCGTGGCCCTGGTAGTCGCGCAACTACTTTCCGGGAGTATATTTTACAACGTTCATTTTCTACGTCGACGGGGGCGCTTTTCTTAACGAAAGCTCGCTCACCCGCGCCACGTGGTCGCCCGTGATTTAAGCGCGCGTTTCTTTTTTTTTCAATTTTTTTTTATCTTTCGTTTCTCGCCGTTTCTCCCGGTTCGCCAGGCAAATCCACCGAGTCCGATCCCGACGCGTTGCCGACCTGGCCAAACTTTTCCCTCGATCGGGAAAATGGTGTAATCGTAATTCGGCGCAATCGAGCTCCGTTGTTTCGAGCTCCGTTGTTCCCGGCCCGTTGTTGGAAGCGAGCGGAAGAAAGCGGAGCGGGATCGCGATCGATCGTTTTTCCGCATGGACATGGTTAAAATGTTTCTCCCGTGTACGCAGGTGGTAGCACTTTCGAGAAGCACGACCACTACAACGGCTCGCTGCTGCATTTCTACCGCGTCGAGAGGCGGCAAATGGGGGCGTATCTCTGCATCGCCAGCAACGACGTGCCGCCAGCGGTTAGCAAACGGGTGACGCTCGCTGTGAATTGTAAGCTCCATTCGCTCGCACGATCCGTCCCAAATCCGTTCCGATCCGATTCGCAGATTACCTCTCGTGGAAATAGTAATTCGCTAATATTTTTCATGTAGTCAGGACGCGCGCGAGTTGATCGCCGATTCGAGAGAGAAAGTCACCGATAGCCGAGGGAAGCTTTCGAAAATATATACGCTCAGCGAGAAGGAAAATTTCATTCTCACTCTCGACGAGCGCGATAAATCCTCGACGAGGATGAAACTCGTCGCGCTTACGCGGAGATGGACCGCCGGTACAATCTCCAAAACAGACTCGAGTCCCCCGTCGTTTCAGCTTGAAAAGTTATCCCCGCGTCGCGAAAACTCACGTCCGGGCTGCCCGGCTGGGGGAGATTACGCGATTAGGGCGGGCAAGAAGAAAGCCTGATTTCGACGTGCGCGTTCATCGGATGAGAATCAAATTTTCATTTCCTCGTTAAAGCGAGCTCTATCTTGGAGACTTCCCTCGTACGTACGCTCGCGAGGAGCCTGCCCCTCGCATTTTCTAGACTCATTTTACTTCCGTAGTCGCACCCGTCGTGAAAGCACCCAACCAGCTATTGGGCGCTCCTCTGGGCACAGACGTGCAGCTCGAGTGCTACGTCGAGGCGTTTCCGAACACGATCAATTATTGGGTGAAGAATCAACGAGGCACGGACGACGAAATGTTATTGGAAGGGTGAGCTTCTCGTTCGTTGTTTTCTTAACGCGAATAATCGTCAGCCGTAACACGGCGCGAGAGGGATATTAAGTATAACGATATAAAAATTGTATACGCCACGGTACGTTTCGGCCACGACGCAGCAACGCCGCGATTCTGCAAATCTCGCGGCAAATCGGTCGCCGAGACGATAAAATTTCAACGAAGCTCTCGAGATTTTCCAATAAGACGATAGCGCAGCGATGTACGAGTTAGAAATATTACATCGCGACGGTTGCGCCAGTCGAAAGTGCAATGTAACATTGAACCGATCGCTAAATGGCATCTGTCTTCCAACTTGGGAGATTAAATCTGGCTGACAGATTTAGAATTCGTTAATTACAAACGATGGTTATTAACTTCTCATGGCTATCCAAGCGCCCCAGCGGAAAAAAATTTCTGTAAATAACTACGAAACTTGACCTGAAATAGAAACTTGTAGAAACTTTTATATCTTCGTCGAAACATTAGTTTTTTGTAAAAATATCTACGAAATAGTACCACAAATTACAATGTTCTCAAATCAAGAAATCATTGCAAGTAGTATTTCATGAAAATGTACAATTTTGTAAAAATTAGTACAAAACTTTACTAGTTCTACAAACTTGAGAAACAACAAAAGTTCGTAAAGAACTAAAACATCTGCTTACTTGTAGATTGTTACAAAAATTAACAAAAGTGTTCCAAGTCTAGCATTTTCATGTTGATTTTTATAACACTTTTTAAATTTACGTAGAATTTCTTAGATTCTGGCAGTTATATTTTATAGTTTTGTAGAATTTTGTAGAATTATTTCCGGCAGGGCGTAAGGGCCTAAACACGCGAAAAAGCTCGAGTGGTAAAAAGTCAACGGTACAAGATACTATTTTTTCCTACTGGATTTCTTGCAAGAGCCAATGAGGAGACAGAATTTTAGATCAGGTAACCTAAGGCTAAAGCCAACGGCACACGATACTATTTTTCCTACTGGATTGCTTACGAGATAAGAATGCAGAGTTTCAGATCAGGTGACTCATGGCTAAATCCTGATTGGCTCTCGTAATCCAGTAGCAATCCAGTAGGAAAAATAGTATCGTATGCCGTTGGTTTAAGATGGTTTAAGACTTAAGACTTAAGGGAAGTGACCAATAGGGTGGTCTTCTGTTGCAGCACTGGTAAGCTAGTGCAATACATTAGAGTAAAGGCTCGTGTCCACGATGCCAGAACTTGGTCCAAGTTCTAGCTCCGAGAAATGTGTAGCCAATCAACTTGCAGCTTTTATGGAATAGCTGCAAGTTGATTGGCCACACGTTTCTCGAAATTAGAACTTGGACCAAGTTCTAGCATCGTAAACACAGGCCTTTAGACAAGTATATTTTTCTCCATTCCAACTTACTGCACTAGTTCACCAATGCAGCAATAGGAAGCAAGCCTGATGACGGTCGAGAACGTGAGCAGCGATGTTGAGACTTCAGCAATGCTGAAAATTGCGATTGGTTGAAGTCCTTAAGTCTTGAGCTTTTTTTTCAGTTTAACCGGTGTTGCTGCGACGATGTTGCGGCAACTCGCGCATAATATTTGCAGTTGTGCCGCGCGCAGATATATCTTTCCGCGACTTTTCCGCGCCGTACGGGAAAATGACGGCCAAAGGTGCACTCTCGCTCCGTAGAAATCCTTTGCCCGGCGTTTTCCCTCTCGCTCCGGCAACGAAACGCTCCGATAACGAGATTCACGTATGTTTCGTAGACCGAAGTACAGCGTGCGGGAGGAACGCACGGGCTACACGGTCCTGATGTGGCTCTTAATCAAAAAGTTTACGGACAGGGACGTCGGTAGTTACAAATGCGTTTCAACGAATAGCCTAGGCAAGGCGGACGGGACTTTGAGATTGTACGGTAAGTTACACGGCCGAGAGAGCCGGATGTGCGCCTTTCAATTTTTATACGCTCTGAGATGCTCACGTCCACGTCGGTGTCCGCTTTCAGAGATTAAAATTGGCTTCGACAGAGTGGGATCTCGCGGGAAGGATCACGTATCTATTATTGGTGGTAAGTATATACCGGTGTACATACATCCCGGCAAACAAACCGCTTGCAGTATGGCAACAAATTGGCAACATATTCATTCGGATATCGCAACGGATCCGGTGTCATCCGCGTCCGCGTCGGACTCGCGGTTCGAAGCTGCCGATATAATCTGACAGCAGATTGTCGGCAGGAACCGAGCGGAATCGGTCGGCTTCGTATAAACATTTAAATGGTATACACCCGAGTCGAAATTTTGGTACTATTTTGACACTTTTAAGGACGATTTACACCTACCTAGCTGATCTGTGCGCCTACATAGACCAGCAATAACCTACTTTGATGACATTCTATTTTTGTACTCCTCCCATGAATCTTTAATTCTAAAAATTTACTTTACCTCCCGCTTAAAAGGACCTACTTTAATGCTAAATTGGCAAAAGTAGAAATGCCTGACAATATCGGTTTTTTAAAGTAGGAGTGAATTTTTTACGTGCAGTTCGACACCTCTTTTATTGTCTTAGGTCCTACTGTACAGGGAAAGGGTAAATACACGTGACATTCAAGTGGCTCTATCTCGGAAACGATAGGGAATGGGACATGTATCCCATATGAACATTTTTGCTTGAAACGACCGATACTATCACCTCCCAGAATATTGACCTTTCCTCCTGGGACACCCGAATGTATGATGGAATTAAAGGTTCAACATAGGGTCAGAATTTCGACCCGGGCATCATTTAAAGCGCTCGCGAAACGGCAGGTTTCGTTTAGTTCCAATCCGCCGTTTTACACCCCCTGCCGCATTTCTCTGCCGGCGTTCCATCGACAAAATTTGCAGCTGACACTTTCGAAATCCGTTTGGCTCCGGGTACATATAAAGAGCAGATTTACTGCTCGCAAGCACGTTATCAATCCCGTTGTTGCTGTCGCGATAAGATTCAGCGCCCGGCCGATTCCCAGCGGCACGGTCGGCGCCCCGCTTATCGGGGGATCGATGTCGCGCTTTTTTTTCCCCCCTCAGTGAAAGGGCGTGACTTTTTTTTTCTAGGTTTGGCCGAGGCCGCTCAAAGTTCCGGCGCCAGCAGCGGCGTCGGCGGTTTCTCCGGAAGTAGCAGCTTGTCGCACATCCTATCGATGTTTTTCTTCATACCGATACTATGGCCACGGTGAAGAAGGCATCCACTACTGGTCACCGCTAAGCTACTTAGTGCCGGATGACTTTGTGCCAAAAAAAAAAAAAAGACAAGAATGTAGAGAGAATGCGCGGAGTGTGAGAGATAGCGTGGTAGAGAACGTATGGAAGCGGACAGCGAGAACGCGCTCAAGAGAGAAAGAGAGGGAGAGACTGGGAATGCGAGAGAAGAAAGAGAGAGAGAGAGAGAGAGAGAGAAAGAGAGGATGGGAATAAGATAATAAATCGGAGTCCTCGGTGCTCCAAATTCTTCCTACTTTCCTTTCCTACACCCGAGTGTCGAAGACATTTTTAGATCAATGAATGTTGTCAATGTACGCGTCGCTTTAGATTCGCGCTTCGCGGATCGGCCGAGCGTGGCCCGACTCGCGCCGTTCGTCTCACGGAGAGACGCCGTCGGGATCGGTACTGATGAGCTAATCGCGCGCACCAATTGTAATTCGTTTTAATGTACTTTATATACTCGAGGTGTGCGACGATCAGGACGTTCGCGCGGCGATCGACGCGGACGGCGTGGATCGCGTCCGAGTAACCGCTGCGCCGATACGCGGATCGACGAATTCGAGAGGAAGGGGGGGGGGGGTTCGCCATCGCGGGGATTGCTTCATGAATCGACGATAATAATCAACGGTCGTTTTGTCATTGATTTATCGCGCTGCTGACTGACTTTGAACGTCGGAAAACTTTGATGTTTCGAAATAAAAATAAGAATCGAACGTTGTACCTTGTTGCCTCGTGTTTTGTCATTTCCGCCTTATGCTAACTAAGTGCTGAACCCATTTTTCATCTTGCTTGTCCAACGTGACTTACATAAGGGTACTATTACATTTGTCGTACGACGAGTTTTTTCAGCTTGGTGGCTACACGGAAAGAATTTCCTCCTAAAATTTATCCTGAAATCGTATAATCGTGCGACAACGCAGTATTTCGAAGAATTTTATGAGAGTTTTTTTTAAAATTTTACCATAAATTTTACTAGTAAAGTGTATGGTAAAATTTCGGAAAACTCTCATAAAGTTCTTCGAAATGCCGTGTTGTCCCACGCTAGAAAATTTCTAGATCGAAAACTTTTCTATCCTGCAGCCAATCGACACGCTTAAAAAATTGGTCATACGACCAATGTAATACCAGTTTAAGAGCCTGGGCAGAAAGAGTGTAACCGTCTACGATTCTGTCGTAAGACTTAAGTCGGTGTCAGAAGTCATTTGCAATGCGCCATACGTTTACGACGTTTCTTTGTGCGTTGATTTCCGACGTCGGCTTGCGTCTTACTACCGAATCGTAAACACTTACGACAAACCTTCTGCTCAGGTCCTAAGGCTAAGGCTGATATTACATTTGTCGTACGACAAATTTTTCAAGCGTGTTGATTGGCTGCTGAACAGAAAATTTCTAGATACTCGAGAATTTTACTATCCCGCAGCCAATCAACACACTTAACAAATTTGTCGTACGACAAACGCAATACCAGCCTAATGTTACGTATTCGTCGTACGACAAATTTTTCAAGCGCTTTGACTGATTGCAGAATAGAAAAGTTGGCGGGTCTCTAGAAATTTTCTAGCTTGTAGCCAATCAACGCGCTTAAAAAATTTGTACGACAATTCTAATACCAGCCTAATATGACATATTCGTCGTACGACAAATTTTTCAAGCATCTCAATTGGCTGCGGAATAGAAAAGTTCTTGAGTATCTAGATATTTTCTAGCTTGTAGCTAATCAACGCGCTTAAAATATTTGTCGTACGACAAATGTAATACCAGCCTAATGTTACATATTTGTCGTACGACAAATTTTTCAAGCGCTTTGACTGGCTGCAG